ACCCTCGCTAGTTCCACTATGTCCCGGACGAAGCAGGGCGGACAAGCGTGGACGCAGCATTCTAGATGAGGCCGGACGGAAGCCGAGAACAGACTCGTTAAGATGCCGCCGTCAAGACTCCGAAAGAATGTCGTATTAACCACAACATGCAGAAATCTCTGCTTGCGGCCTTCCTCCAGTTGTCGCCGGAGTGTAAAGACGAAGAGTGTACGACGCCTAGATCGACCTGGCTAGATACACGGGGATTCGAACCCCCGATCAAGTACTTCACAGGAGGACAACCTCCTCCAATTCGAAGAACGGAGCAATTTGCCTGCTTTACTGGCAGTATAGCGGAATCGTTCGGTCGCTATATGTCAAGTTCGTTCCGCCTCAAGGAAAAGTCGGAAAAAGACGGATATATGAGCGAGATAGACGTTTACTGTCGGAACGCACAATCCCGCTAGCTAAAGGCACCGCAAAAAGGTTCTAGCTAGGGGAAAGGTATAGTCACCAGCCGGGACGCATCAAACGCTCTTCGAGGCGGAAAAGCCAGAAGCGCGCGAATGCGATTCACCTGGATGACTCAAACACACGTAGTCATCGTGCGAACAGGCAAGCTTCCTAAGTTGCCTATGTACAAAATGATATTATATTTTAATGATATTTTACACAGACAAACAGGACAATCTCCAGGTCACTACAGTAGTAACCACAAAGTAGATCAGTCCCAAAGCTTATCCAATGCTCGCTGAATAGCCTCGGAACCCCCAGGTACACCGACAATATTCCACATCTTCCAGTCATCAGCAGATAGCATCGATGGTGCCTCAAGATCCGCGGGTAGGTTATTCATATAGATAAAGAACAGCAGAGGTAAAAGGACCGAGCCGTGTGGCACGCCACTGAGGATAGACTGGCTAAAATATAGGCATCGGCCTAACCGTACATACTGTTCTCTACCAACCAAGAAGGCAGTCACCCAATGAAGGGTGCGGCTAGATACACCGTAGGTCAGCTTTTGCGCGAGCTGCAAATGGGTACCTTGTCAAAGGCATTCAAAAAGTCAGGTCAGGTCAGATGGACGATAGAGGTTTCCGCCTAACGAGCGTCCAGTTCTTGTGCCGGTAAGTGAATCGGCCCCCAGCACTTCGACGTTGGATTGTTTCTTGCTTCTGCAATGGAATGATGCAAGAACAAGAGCAGTCTCTGCACTTTCATATGCCAGCATCAAGATACACTACATATACCAGTACAACTACAATAGCTCTGGAAAAAGGGTGGACCAACAATTGTCTAAGCCCCTTTTGAAGGCTGCTACGGTCCCAGACTCCACTAAATCAGAAGGAAGTTTATTCCAGTAGTTAACTACTCGGTTCGTAAAAAACTTTGCCCTGATGTCCAAACGAGCTCTGTGATGTTTGAGCTTCAGGCGATGCCCGCGCAGATGGTCTGACGTAGCCAACTCAAACAGATGGGTGGAACTAATACCACTAAGTCCCTTAATGATCTTAAACGTCTCTATCAAATCCCCTCTCAACCTACGCCGCTCCAAGGAAAATAATCCTAAGCTACTTAGACGATCTTCGTAAGACTTCCCTCGTTGACCTTCAATCATCCTGGTCGCAAGTTTCTGAATCTTTTCTTCTTTTCACTCCGGAGGTACGGTGACCAGGCCTGAACACAATACTCCAGATGTGGCCTGACCACTGCTTTATATAAGGGCAAGAATACTTCTGCTTTAGTGTTACTCAGCGCCCTCCTAAGACGAAATAACTCGTGTCGTGCTTTATTGGCAGCATGGCGACACTGTGCCGAAGGCTTAAAATTGTTCGCTACGATGACACCTAGATCACGGGCTTCGTCAGTACATCGCAATTATAGAGATCCCACAGAAGACTGAACGGCAATTCCGCTACCACTACTAGTCAATAGTTGACATTTGTTGGCATTTAGAGGTAGGTCTCATTGGCTTGACCAATTCGCCAGTGATGATGTCCTTAGCCAATGTCGATCGGTTTCCCCTACTGACTAGCTTCAAGTCATCTGCGAAGATGTAGCAAGGATTCTCAAGAAGAGGAGCCAGGTCATTTATAAACATAAGAAACAGCAATGGACCCAGAGCCGAACCTTGGGGGACACCACTGTAGGCATGGCCAACACTAGAACTCGCTTCCCCAACCCTGACTCTGAATGTCCTTCCACGTAAGAATTCAGAGAGCCATAGTAATAGTTGAGGATGCAATCCAAACCATGTCAGCTTCTCAATTAAAAATCGATGATTCACGGAGTCAAAGGCTTTACTGAAGTCCAAATAGCACACCTCTACCGATATCCCACTATCAAGACAACGGGTAATCTCGTCCAAAAAGCACAGTAAATTGGTAAGACTTCTTTTTGAGAAAGCCATGCTGTTCCGCTCGAATTAGATGGTGCTCAGTCAAGTGCTCACAGATCCTGTTCCTTATAAGCTTTTCCAAGCATTTCAGCATGATGCTGGTCAAACTAACAGGTCTAGAGTTAAGAGGCACCGACTTAGAACCCCCTTTGTGGATGGCAACAATAGTCGCCTCCTTCCAATCACGTGGCAGCTCACCTTCTTGAAGAGACTAGTTGAATAACTCCGCTACGGGATACTGAAGGATATCAGGCAGCGGCTTAACTATGGCGGGATGTACGCTATCAGGACCGGCTGATTTATAAGGGTTCAAACTAGCCAGCACTGTGAAGACCTCTGGCACACTGAGAATAATTTCCTGCATTGTGTAGCTAGTTGAGCAGTGCGGCTGTGATGGTAAGGCTGACCCACTATCCTTCCGATGCAGGTTTTGGTAGACACGTAGCAGCACTTCTACTTTATCGACGTCATCTACAGCCTGGGTACCGTCCTCCATGGTTAGACAGCCGACGACCTCTCTTAAAGAAGCCTTTGACTGGACATAACTGTAATAACACTTGGGATTAGTTTTCGCGAATTTGACCAAGCTCAGCTCATATGAGTACTTCGCTTGCCGCTGTAACTTAATAGCCATGTTTCGACACCTTTTGTACTGCAGCCAGCGTCGAAAGCCCCGAGTTTCTTGATATTTTCTCCACTCAGCATTGCGCCTCTTTATCGCTCTCTCAATTTTTCTTCTCCACCATCGGGGTTTCCCAAGATGTCTCCTGGGGCGAAGAGGAGCAAATTCATTCAGCAACTGTACAAGTCCACTTTTATGTAGAAGCCACCTCTGTTCCAAAGTGGCCTTGTCCTGCTCAGGAACAAAAGTGATCTGAAGGGCTCGATCCCGCAGCTTCGTAAAATCAATACGATTTAAATCTCTTCCCATTCGACGGTTCTCTGCAAGCCTCGGTGTGTCCAGAGAAAAGGTCAAAACATAATGATCACTCTTACCTATGGGTGGCTCCACGCAGAGGTCAATCAAGTGACCATGTCTGGCGATCACGATATCAAGGGTTGAAGGGGTACTCCCAGTACGACTCCTAGTCGGGACATTGACGTATTGCTAGAACGCATTTACATGCATCCAATCTACTAGTTCCTTCTCTAAAGTACCCACTTTGTTTTCGGCATGCTGACAATCAGCATGCGGAAGGTTTAGGTCACCGACGATCAGAAAATTAGGTGCGGCCATTGCCGCCTGTCTTAATAACGTACCAAGATCCCTGTCCTCTTCTCGCGTAGAGGATGGGCTACGATAAACACATACTATGAACTCCAATCTACCCCATGTTTTTAGATGGCAGGATACCACCTGAACATTAGCAGAACTCATGGTAAATGGAGCCTCCCAGTGTTTATATTGGCACTTTATAAGCAAGAGTACCCCTCCACCAGTCTGATACCCGGGCCTGTCAGCCCTGTAGCACGTAAAGTCTATAAGCAGATCACCAATAAGGTCATCTGGAGAGAGCCAGGACTCCGACACAGCGGCCACATCAACATGCTCACAACGCGTCACTAATTCCCCCCCGTTTGTTACGCACACTACAACAATTGGCGTACCACACGCTTAGTCTTTCCGAACGCGGTTGTTTCCCCTCGGACGTAGAGCCCGAGGGGATAACCCGTTTTTTGTACCATTTCATTTCGATCAGCTGCCTGAGTCGATGAATCAACGCTGGGCTGCTGTAACGCATTACGGGATAATCCCTTCCCTGGATTCGCCCGCCTGGGCTTGCTGGATAAACTCCTGATGGGTTTCCTCCCATTTACCTGAGTCGACCTTTCAGCACTGCACTTCGGATTTTCTGTACGGCCCAATTTAGGTGTGGCAAGTTTTGTATTTATCTTATCATTTTGTGAAAAGGGCATACCACCCATGGACTTTGGTGCCACTACTATCGAGCATGAGGCTTCCATTGTTCTTGAACGCACCGGCTGAAGTCCCATTGCCACACCTTCACTACCCTCTTCCGCCATAGAGGTGTGATTCTCATTTTCATCAAGAGCAAGTTTCTCCACAACCAAATGTAGGCCAGGAGTTATCTCGCTGGCGTCTTGTGAAGGGGGTTGTCCAGACAAGCTGTCTGCCCTTGCCACAGAAGAGCAAACGCTAGAGGTTTGCTTAGGTGTCTGCATAACGTGAAGCTCACTATCATGAATTCCAACGTGTGAGACCGCAGATTCGTTATCCAAGCTGGTATTAGTGCCTTCTAACCGGCTCAGCTGAAAGACTTTAGCCTTCGAAATCAGTGTGTCTGGTGCTATTTGATACCGACCATTTGTCTGACTTGCAACCAACCCAGCCCTGTTAAGTAGAAGGACCCGGTGTATAGGGTTTCGAAACTCAACCAGGATAGGCCTTGCATCCAGTGCGTGGCAGATAACCACCGCATCCGCCAAACTTTCGTCAGACACGAAAATCTCTTTCGGAATCCGTGTTGTACATTGCCAACTGGATTAAATCTACTCAGACGAACCACCAAAAAAGAAGGATGCCTTAAGGCATCCTGCATGTGGAGAACGAGCTTCAAAAAGTACATAAACGGAAAGAAAATAGCAAACCATGCAAACTCACATTTTTAACTGCTTCAACGCATTGCTTAACTCATTGGCCTCATTTCTCTTCACTCGCATTGCATAGTAGTGAACGCGAAACTATTGGGGTCCGTGAACCCACAGAGGGAACTGAACTAGGATTCGCTATACAGCAACATATATGTAAATAAAGAGCATGTTAAATAAGTGATGGCACATCAATTTCTGAAGAAACTAAAACAAATGCTTGGTCATACTACGGTTGTTTAAATGCAATGTGGCTGCCGGAATTGAATGTCTTGTTTGGTTTACAGGACTGAATGTTTGTACTTATAAACAGGATGCTAATCGAATAAAACGATTACATAAACACTGGTAGATTTCTGTGCACACGGATGAAAACGGGTTGCGGTTCTTTCTTCTATCCCGCGAACTTCGGAATGCGCGCGGTAAATAAGAAGATTGCGGGTACTGAACCCTAAATGTGTTTTACCACGGTTTACCGCTTAACGACAAAGTATATGAGCAACTTTATGCCGTAAGTGATCACTAAATATTCGCTAAACCACGAACCAGAATATGCCGGACATAAAGCGAATATTTCGTGTGACTCCATGGTTAATAAAGGCCACGTAGGTAATGGGGCAGCTTGTTAATCTCTTGCAAACATGAAACGATGGAAAACTGGCAAGCAAACAAACCTCGTAAACCGGGTTGCACAAACGTTTTCCTTGGTGGTCCATCTTTACCTATAATAATGTGCAAGCTTGACGTTGTAATACATCGAAGTCTTCCCTCAGGCGTGCAAGCATAAGACCAATTCAGACTTTTAACTTTGCACGTCCCTTGCGCATTTGCCATCGCAACCCCGCTGTCGTTCAATTTTAGTACATCTACAGTCTCGGGCCTCGAACCCCAAGTGCACTGCCGAGAATTCGGAGCGCTAACACTAGGCTATGTGCGGGCTGTGTATGCCGCTTTGTCAGCTGAACAAACGTCCGCTAAAGTAACTTTACGGTAAGGATTGCAAAAATCAATGTGTTCCCCAGGCTTATAAAGTTTGGTAGGCTAGCGAATCAAAATAACACTACTCCCGCATTTATTTTGCCAGTTTTTGCAGAACTTGGTCGGTCCAGGCGGGAGAAGAATTGTCCACGATCGCAAAACTGACTACGGCCGCAGAATTTCAGATAGGGGCCCCCTGTACCTCATGTTCTTCTTAGGCAGGCCTCAGCAAACATTTTTTACGGCGGTCCATTTAGCCAGAAAAATTAATTGGCGCTGGCCAGACTACTGTGAAAATGACTAAGTGAGCCGATTAACTAATAAAATGGTTAGCGTTGGACCCATGTACCGCATACTTATTACGTTATGTATTTGTAGCAGTCGGGAGATTTCCCTGTTTGCAAGTGTATAATTCTAACTAAAATTACTTTATTCTAAACCTAGATGAATGGTGGGGTTTTTTTGAATTGAGTACTAAGTTAGAATGCCTGATTTGACCAACTCCACTTTTGCTTGGTGTTCGTTTCGGTTGTAACGCGCAGCTGCCTAGTGTGCTTTGCATTATTTGTTCCTGTATCTAGAGCGTCAACGGTGTTGTCTTATGTAGCTATGCAACAGAGCATCTTTTCTGTACCAATACAAGTTTCCCTGAAACCCTACCAGTAGTCTGAATCGCTCTTGGTGCTCCCGCTAAAGGCTAATCGCTAAATTGATGACCTGATTGCGGAAGGAAGTTAAAGCCGGATTTTTCAAAGTTAACTCAGGTGAACTAGTTTCAATTAATCTTTCGTATTTTCCAGTTTGGTTTTGCAGGTAGAGTCTCGTTTTAGTATTGTATCTCTGTGCCACCTTTTATGACATGGATTTTCACTTGTGTTGCGTTCATGTTGAGGCAAGGTTTTATAACCACATAATTACTTCCAACTACTCGAAGTACGGCAGTCTGATGTCTTTTCTCCCTAAAGAGATACCCATGCGGCTCAGAGACGTCATGATTTCTTAGAACGGAAACATCTGTGTGACACTCATGGAGGCCACTTTTAAGCACGGCATGCCCTCCGAGAAAGTCCGACTATAGCAGGTGTTCTGGAATCTGCAGTTAGGCGCTAAACTGCCTTTAAACCTACTAAGCGGGAGGCAGCAACTCCTTTGAGCATCAACCATAGACGCGACTTTGCTTCGCGGAATACGGCTCCAGAGACTACCGGAAAACACTCAAGTTATTATAGCACTCGTGAACCCGTTTTCGCTCACCCTAATATCCGATATAGCAGATGGCGTCATCGAACAATCACATCCAGTTACCGACGCCAACAAGATCAACTTCGTTGCGTCCCGGCACGCTGCTATCATTAACTTACAGTCAACCAAAAAAGTCCTTCAAACACAGGTTGCGACACCCAGTTGCCAAGTCCAACAGCTCACTATGAGCAGTCTTCGCCACAACCGATCAAAATCACCCACATAACGCTCCATTTTTAAAAGGCAAGGCTGCTGTCAGTATTATCGACGCTTTGGTACTGCAGCACGTAAGTGTGCAAGGACTTGCACCTCCCCCGGGACATGGGGCATCTTTCAGCCGGCCCGGAACGGCAACGAACGCGACCGGTCAACACCAAAGTCGACTAATCCGTGTTAAGGATGTAACTTCTGGTACCGAGTTTGTAGATGACACTGGAGCCGAAGTCAGCGCTATAGCCCGCAGCTCAGCTGAGGTCGTTTCACTCTCTCCGACCAAGCTGCGTGCCACCAATGTCACGCCAATAGCAACTTTCGGAACATGGCTGCTAATGCTCAATTTAAGTCTCCTGCGAACCTTTCGCTGGCCTTTTATAGTAGCAACTGTGCCTTTTACGCTCAAAGTCACAGGCTTTCTTCAGCTCTTTGACCTTAGCGTGCAGGCTAAATTAAGAGACCTATAGACTCAAAGCACTGCGTAGTGATGTCAGGACAAGCGCCAGTGTGGCCACTAGCACACAAATTAGTGTCCTGCCTCAAGCTTCACAGCCGTGTATAGACCTTTTCAGCAAGCGTCTAAACGCACGCACGTTCCGAACGACTTCACACCTACGCAGTCAAACGTCATGTATCACATCTTCACTAAGGGTCCAGCAGTTTCGGCCCACCCTCGCTGACTAGCTCCTGACAAGCTCAAAACTGATAAGGCGTAATTATGTAACTGCTCTACCTGGGGATAATCCACCAGTTCAAAACTCCTTGGACATCACCATTACACATGTCGCCGGATAAATCCGTTACCCGACGCCCCTGTGAAGACGGCAAGGCACTTAACAAGGTTATCGCCCCGGATAAATACCTCATTCCTCACGTGCACTAACTAACTTCAGCTCTATCTGATAATTCGATATTTGGTAAGATAAATGAATAAATAAATAAATAGTATATTCACGGTAAAGCGAGACACACCTGTAAAGGCGTGATCAAATATGCATACAAGCATAGCTTCTGTGGAATGTTAAAACATTTCGTTTTAATGAAAGTTATGAAAGAAAAGATGTTGTCCGTATGAGTGAGCATACTGTCAAGTAATAGTCAGACGCAGGGACAATATGGCGCTATGGCGCGCAAACATCCGTCAAAACACACGTTGGGGGTAATTTTGCCAGGTAGTGATCCGTGAGCACAGGAGTCTAAACAAGGTTTTGTTGCAACCAATAACCATTACGAGATAGAGATGATCTGTGCTCCAACAAAGCATTCCTCATAGCAGAATTAGTTGCACAGGTTCGATGTAGACGGCTGATGACTGCGTCCCTGTGAAATGCTTAGCTGTGACTTTACTTTGTGGCGAGTCACATCCGCCACGTTGCAGTGTTGTTAAGCGGACATTTGTGGCTTTTTATAGGGAGAACACTTGCCAGGCGAAAACCCACCACGTCCTGGAACACTGCCGTAGCTTTCGTTGAACAGTAGTGTAAGTCGGTTATGCATCGTATAGGCCGAGTTTGCATTCTATTATTCGCAGTCGGTTGACAGCCAAAATTCTTCGTTGGTTGGCCGAATGGCTTAGTACTGATACGGCAGCAGTCGTTGAAGCCGTTCAATGATGCAAGATTCGAAGAGGTGCAGGAGATGAAGGTGAGTAAACACATTGTTAATAGAGGCCGGCTCTTCTATTATATTCTTGTTCTGCTCGCAAACCATGTCCAGCTATCCTCGCTGGACTTGTCATGGGGTCGGTGCGTGAAGTTGTTTCCTGTGGCTGAATATGTCCTTAATAGGTAAAAACGCCATTCTCCGCAAATTGGATTTGGGATTCCTGCAAATGTAAGTAAGTGTAACTGTTTCCATAGCCAAGTGAAAATTCCATGGAAGACCATCGGAATAGCCACGTATACGTGCGCAACGCTGTCCGTGAAATGACATCAGAATGGCTCCAGGTGACTGGCGAATAGGAATGTTTGAGGCAGTGAAGGTAATCACGCCAGAGTTTTTTGTCTTCGGTTGTGGAACGGGGGATCCATATACATATATTATTCCAGGTGAGTTAATTGTTCTCTGAGTACGAGGCAAGCTAAACCCATTCGTTTAGACCCCATGAAGGTAGCGCCTCCGGAATGGTGGAATGAGCTCCATTTGGACCAGTGTGAGTTTTTCATTTCCTGGAGAAAGGACCAAGCGTTTTGAGGATGGGTCGGCCAGTCCCAGGGGATAAACCTTCTTGTTTTGGCGGATGTACCTGTGGGAATCTCGGGAAAAACGGGCAACGGACAAGAGGTGGCCAAACAGAGACAGCAATGAATCAAGAAGCACTAACACAGACTGGTGGCGCTCACCGGTGCCTATGATACATTCAAACTTATGTAATTTTGTTTAGTATACATAATTCGCCAGCGCGTTCTAAACACTACGTCGCTGGTGTGACTCAGACTACAGCTACTACGTGGGGACTAGTTCGCGCCTATCAACAACTACGCGGGGGCTAGTCAACGTTGCTAAAATAGCAGTTATCACGCGCTTCCGTCCATTCCAGTACATCAGAAAGCCTTTGGGTGTTAGCAACGCTTCTCTAACTGTTCAGCATTTCATTCATGAGGATACGCGCGTTGTCAAAGGCCTGTAACTTTATCTTGCTAAATTTTCATTGTCCGCTCTTCTGACGATGAACATCTTCATCACCTCGACGCTCGC